TAAAGTGGTATCTTTTCTTGGAGTTGGAGCTCGTCTTTGATCCCAGTCTCCTCAAAGAGCATTTGAGCCTTGGTGATGGTAAGACGCGTATGGCTGTATACTAGCTGCTTAGCAACTCTTAATGTTTCCTAACTAATTCTCCAGTGACTTGTACACAAGACAAACACAGACAGAACAAATGCAGGACTAAGAAAACATGATGATAGTGGATACTGTAAATCAAAGTCTATTTTTTATTATTATTATTAACTAGTGAGCAACATTTATTTGATTTTATCCATATATCAATTGTGTGAATATTTTTTGCTGCAGATTATGGTGAGAGACCCATTCTTCCTCCTCTGCCATCTAAAAACCCTTATCAACCCAACCTGGAGGATGAATAGCAGATGCTGATGCAAACACGGGGAGCTATACTGACCTGCACAGACCTACAGCAAAACATGTTTGCATAAACACGAGAGAATGTCAGGTCCGCTCGGCACAACCTGCCTCTCTTCTCTGCTCTCTCGACCTGCAGGATCTGCACCTCAGCTGTGTTGCATTCAGTAATTAGCGACTCGTTTGTCGGTGCACACAGCTGGGGTGCATTCCTATGATTACTTTCCTCCTTATTTATACCTCTGGCAGATGCTCCATCTTCGCTGGAGTATTAACTTGCATACCCTGTAATACCTATCTTCATGGTATGTATCATACGTCATTTTGTTTTCCACGCTGACAGTTCCTGTGCTGTGGATCTCATTTTGTACGATGGTTACGTTTTTGTTATTTGTCTCTAGACGTTCCACGCTGACAGTTCCTGTGCTGTAGATTTCCTTTTTCATTCTCCAATCCTCCTGGTTAGTTTGTCCATTCACCTGTCCGTCTTGTTCCTCCCACTCTCCTGGTTTTTGTCGTTAACCTGTCTACTCCCCTCGTCGCGCTGGTCTCCTCAGCCGTCTTTGCCCAGCCCTGGTTGTATGTGTTCATTGACTCTGTTCCTTTTTGTGATTCCCACCATTAAACCACCTTTTTTACTAGCACCTGAGTCAGCAGTTTTGAGTCCTATCTCAGTTCTTCCTCATCCTCCTGCTGAGGGGGACTAACCTTAACAGAGAAATGCTGTGCTTCCTGCTGGTACAAGTTTTCTTGTATTTTCAATCTTCTGACTAAGGCTTCATTTACTGTATAAACAGTGGGTACGGAAAGTATTCAGACCCTCTTAAATTTTTCCCTCTTTGTTATATTGCAGCCATATGCTAAAATCATTTGTTCATTTTTTTTCCTCAATGTACACACAGCACCCCATATTGACAGAAAAACACAGAATTTTTGCAGATTAATTAAAAAAGAAA